TAGGGAATCTATGGAACTCGTTGCTGCAGAGGCCAAGTCATTGAGCGTATTTAAGACAGAGATAGGTAGTTCCTTGATTAGTAAGGGGATCAAAGTTTATGGGGAGAAGGATGGGGTTGAGAAACATATGAGCCATGGTCAGACGATGGAATAAACTCAAAGAGCTGAATAGCCTAATTCTGCTCCTATATTTTAGAGTCTTGTGGTGAGACCATATCTGGCATACTGGTCCCCTTAGAGGTTGCCCAAATTAATTCTCGGGCTGGTGGGATTGTCTTAAGAAGGAAGTTTGAGGAAACTGGGTCTGTCTTCCCTGGAGTTTCAATGAGGGGTGACCTTATTGAAAGTAAGACTTTTACAGGGCATGGCAGGGTGGATGTAGATGAGGTGTTTCCCCTGCCTAGGAGGTTTAGAACCAGGACACATCATACCTAGATCGAGGCCAGACCCATTAACACTGGAAGAAACACAAAGAATGTTGGAGAAACTAAGACCGAGATGAAAGACAATTCCTTCGTTCAGAAGGTGGTGAATCTTTGGAATTCTTTATCCCCAGAGGGCTGTGGAAGCTCAATCATTGAGCAGGTTCAAGACAGACTGCGTGCAATTCTGGTCTCCCTGCTATAGGAAAGATGTTGTGAAACTTAAAAGGGTTCAGAAAAGATTGACAAGGATGGCACCGGGATTGGAGAGTTTGAGCTACAGGGAGAGGCTGAATAGGCTGGGGCTATTTTCCCTGGAGCGTCGGAGGCTGAGGGGTGACCTAATAGAGGTTTATAAAATCATGAGGGGCATGGATAGGGTGAATAGCCAAGGTCTTTTCCCCATGGTGGTGAAGTTGAAAACAAGAGAGCACAAGTTTAAGGTGAGAGGGGAAAGATTAAAAGGGACCTAAGGGGCAACATTTTCACACATTGAGTCATGTGTGTATGGAATGAGCTGCCAGAGGAGGTGGTGGAGTAGGTACAATTACACATTTAAAAGAATGGGTACATGAATAGGAAGGATTTAGAGGGACTTGGGCCAAATGCTGGCAAATGGGACTAGATTAATTTAGGATATCTGGTCAGCATGGATGAGTTGGACCGAAGGGTCTGTTTCCGTGCTGTACATCTCTATGTCAGAAATCAATAAGTTTCTGGAGACTAATGACATTAAGAGATAGGGAGATAGGGTAGGAAAGTAAAAATTGCAGAAATGATCAATCATTGTATAGAATGTTAGGCAGCCTTGATGGGCAGAATGGCCTACTCCTGGTCCTATATGTATCAAACCACTTGTTTTGCCTCAGACTAACACTCACTGTTCATGACAGTGCAGGAATCCTGAGTGAAGGAGATTTAGCTCCAACTCAATTCCTCAATCTTAACCCATTTCTGCATGAGAACCTAGGACACATGCAGGTTCATCACTTACATGCATACCAAGCTGAATTTGTTTTTTTGTTAGGTGACCACCCCAAATTGCTTTTCAGTTGACCGTTTATACATAATATATGTTTATTTTTAATTAAGCCGCCAAATGAGGCCATTACAGGCAAGACCAACATTTATTTAAGAACACATTGTGTTGAACTTGACCAAGGGAGAGGCTAGGTCTCAGTTGGAGGATTGTGTCCAGTTTTGGACATCAGACATTAGGAAGGATCTGCACTCGAGAGTGCAGTAGAGGTTTATAAGAATGGTTTCAGGGATGAAGAACATCAGTTATGGAGATAGATTGGAGAGGAGAAGGCCTGGAGGAGATTCGACAGAAATTTTTTAAATCACGAGAGTAAATAGGGAGAAACTGTTCTCACTCATGAAAGGATTGTGACTGAGAGGACATAGATTTAAGACAATCTGTAAATGAAGCAAAAATGCCTCTCCAAGAACTGTAAGGAAATAAAATTCACACAGCAAGTGTTTGGGTTCAGAATGCGCAGCCTGACAGTGTGGTGGAGGAAGGCTCAATCAAGGTATTCAAAAGGAAATCAGATGGTTATTTGAAAACAAAGAGTGCGCAGGGTTTAGGGAAGAAGGCAGGAGAATAGTTTCAGGCAGAACGCTCATTCAGTGTGCCAGCAGAGATGTAATGGCGTGAATGGCCTCCTTCTGTATTGTAGTAATTCCATCATTCTACCGACAATCCCTAATTGCTGTGTGATGTAAGGACACTCACAATGCTGTTAGGAAAGGAGTTCCAGGATTGTGACCCAGTGAGAATGAAGAAACGATGATATATTCCAAGTCAGGATGGTGAGTGGCTTGGAGGGAAGCATGAAAGTGGTGGCTTTCCTGCTGCCTTTGGCCTCCAAGGTCCTAGAGGTTTGGAAGGTGCTGTCAGAGGAGACTCGGTGAGTTATTGCAGAGCATGTTGTAGATGGTACACACTGCTGCCACTGCATGTCAGTGTTAAAGAAAGTGAATATTTAAGGTTGTGGATGTCAAGTGGGCTGCTTTGTCCTGGATGGTGTTGACTTTCTTAACTGTTGTTGCAGCAGCACTTATTCCAACAAATAGATTATGAAGAACCAGGGGTCACAATTTTAAACTGAAACAGAAAGTACTGGAGAAACTCCAGCAGGTCTTGCATTATCTGTGGATAGTGAACATTTTGAGCCTAATGATCCCCCATACAAGGTCAGATCTGGGACAGATACATAGAAACATAGAAGATAGGAGCAGGAAGAGGCCATTCGGTCCTTCAATCCTGCTCCATCATTCTTCATCATCATGGCTGATTGCCTAACACAATAGCCTAATCCTGCTTTCTCCCCCTAACCTTTGATCCCATTCATCCCAAGTGCTAAATCCAGCCACCTCTTGAATACATTCAATGTTTTGGCATCAACTACTTCCTGTGGTAATGCATTCCCCAGGCTCACCACTCCTTGGGTGATGAAATGTCTCCTCATCTCCATCCTAAATCGTCTACCCCGAATCCTCATACAGTGACCCCTGGTTCTGGACACACCCACCATCGGGAACATCCTCCCTGCATCTACCCTGCCCAGTCCTGTTGGAATTTTATAAGTCTTTATGAGATCCCCCTCATTCGTCTGAACTCCAGCAAAAACAATCCCAACCTAGTCAATCTCTCCTCATACGTCAGACCGGCCATCCCCGGAATCAGCCTGGTAAACCTTCGCTGCACTCCCTTGAGAGCAAGAGCGTCCTTCTTCAGAAAAGGAGACCAAAACTGCACACAATATTCCAGGTGTGGTCTCACCAAGGCCCTGTATAACTGCAACACACATCCCTGCTCCTGTACTCGAAACCTCTCACTATGAAGGCGTTAGGAGCTGCTTCTTTACTGAGGAATTGTGGACACTCTAGAACAAGCTGAGGGTTTGTGAGGTTTATATTGGTTTCCCAAAAGTCTTCCAGTAACAGCTGTGTGGTTTTGGCTTGAACAGAGATCGCCTGGCATAAAAGACAGGCACTGCAGAGAATGATCAAGTCCTATGTGATCCCCTGGACCAGTATTGATCACTTAAAGAGAGTCAGAGAGGAATTCTTATCCTTCAAATGACTTTTATCTGTAGAATTTTATCTCGTAGAATACAGCGTGATACATCATTATGACAGGAAGAGGTATCTCCGGGGTGATCATTCCTGAGAATTGAATCATATGAAACTGATTTTAACACTCTGGTGAATTTTGATGGGTGTGTTTGAGATCAGACTAATCTCTGAGCTGACTGAACTCAGGAGGGCCCCTGTGAGATAATGGTACCGTCCCTACTTCTAGGCCAGGAAATTCTGGATTCAAGGCCACTTTCTCTCAAGGTGTGTCTTGAGATGTCCAAACAAGTTGATTCAAAATAATGGACATTCTTAACTAAACTCTGGTAAAAGCGAAAATTGAAAGAATTGTGGATGGTGTAAAATCAGAAATGGAAACAGAAATTGCTGGAAAAACTCAACAGGTCTGGCAGCATCTTTGGAGAGAAATCAGAGTAATGTTTCAGATCAAATGACCTTTCCTCAGAACTCTTAGGAGTTAGGATTTAATAAAAGCATGTATTCAGGTAGGTTACACTTACCTTATCAATTTACTTGCTAACTAGATTTGATCAAATTGAGAATATAAATCGTTGAATTTTAGCGTTAAGCTCCAAAAGAACATTTTTCTTCCTCAGATACCCTGAAAATTCAAGATGGTGCTCTCAAAGAGTTGACACAGGCAAGATGGCCTCCCTCTTTGAAGTAACAACCTGTGGAATTTTTTTGTTTGACAAATTTTCCTTTGCAAAGCTAGTCCGGATTGTTCTCCCAAGATTTTCCGGTCGCGGATAGTCCTCATAAAGAGCCGATCGTGTTAAATGAAAGGCTGCTTATACTTGTTTTCTCCAGAGAAAGGATTGGAATTTCTGGAATCTCCCAACACCCTGCTTATGTGTAAACTTAAACACAGTAACAAAAATATACTATAAATAGAAGGTGGAAGAAATGCGAACATCGAGTAAATTAAAAGAACTGAATTAAAAATGTTTCAAGAGTCTAGTTTCGAAAGCGTGTGGACTGAAAGACTTTTCCAAGAGCTTATGATCCTCTCTCTCTCTCTCTCTTTCTTATTCCCCCTCCCTTCCTCCTGGGAATCCTGGTCTCAAATATCCAAACTGTCCCAAAACCAGGAAATTGCTTGAATCATAGAACTGGCACTTCAAACACCAAACTCTGCTCAGTTCCTCCTCTTCTCTGTGTTTGGGCAGTCCTGCTGGAAGCAGGTCAAATGATTCTTGATTGAGTTCATGATTTACCCCGAGTTTCCTGACTGAGATCTGACATTACTTTGAGTCAGAGCTGCTGGACAACATCCAGATTTGGGGCTTCCACCAACACTTTTCTTATTGGTCAGTGAGACCCAGCTATCCTTGGATAAACTTAGTTAACTTAAACAAGAGTGGGGCCCAGCTGAAAATCTATCCATTAAAAACAAATGGAAATGTTAATAAAAGCAGTACAGACCGTGCTAGCTATTCTGTCCCACTCCAACAACGCTGCCCTTAGCCCTACCTTGACATCCAGAACCTGGGGTCGAACAGTAGGTGGGTTTGATGGTCATTTGGGTAGGTGATGCAGTAGCTGTGAAGGTGAGAGAAATTCAAGTTAGTTAAGAGACCTTTACAAACACATAACAATATTAGACAGAACTCCTGCATCTGTGCACGTATATGCGTGCGTGTGTGTGCATATGTGCGCATGTGTGTGTATATATATGCATGTGTGTGTGTATGTGTGCATGTGTGTATATCTGCATGTGTGCATGTGTGTACATGTGCATGTGTGTGTGTATGTGTGCGTATATATGCACATGCATGTATGTGCACATATGTGCATATATGTGCATGCGCATGTGTGCGCGCGTGCATGTGTGTGTGTTTGTGTGTGTGTGTTTGCATTTTTCCATGACTGCATGTTTCTGTGTATGTGTGTTTACATGCATGCTTTTGTTTGTGTGCATTTGTATTATGTGTGTGTGTTTGTGTTTATATGTACGCTTGTGTGTGTGAGTGCGCATGTGTCTATGTGAAAGTGTGTCTATGTGCATGTATGTGTGTGTGTGTGTGTGTGTGTATGTTCATTTAATACTCTGTAATCAACACTTCAGATTAATTTTATATCCACGTGCAGATTTTTCTGTACTTCTCCAGTTCAAACAGTGAGATTATATTGTTGGGCATTAATATGAGAAATTCTCTTGTCCTTGTTTGACAGACAGTGAGACATAACCACTGGCGTGGGTCATTAGATTGCAATCTAGCCAATCATTTCATCACTGTTTGTGGGATCTTGCTGTGTGCAAATTGCCCAATTTGCAACATTGCAAAAGTGAGCCCATTTCAAAAAAAGCACAACATTGGCTCTGAAAGTGTTTATCGATGTCATAAAAAGCACTTTAGAAATCCAAGTGTTTTACTTTTACGAGTTTCTTAATTCAGTGACACTCACCCACCTACAACTGATTGGATTCGTATCAGAAAAAAAACTTAAGTCTTGCTGAGCCACTTCAATGAAACTTTCAAAAGGTCACAGACTGAAAGTGAAATAATTCTACAAGATCCTGGCTCAGAGCCAACTTACAGAATGGAAGTAATTGTACTTGGGGACAAACGTTACTGTTTATCAATCAATTGTCAGATCTGGGAGTGCAACTCACACTTGGAAGAGGAAAGGAATCTTCAATGTTGTCTTGAAAAGGCAGAGATGAGCTGCCTTCTTGAACTGCGGCAATCCATGTGCTGTTTGGGAGGGGGCTTCAAGGTTTTTGACTGAGTGACTGTGACAGTATGATAATATAGTTTCAATTGGCTCGGAGAGACACTTACAGTGGGTGGTATTCCTGTGCATTTGCAGTTCTTGTCCTTCTAGATGGTAGTGGTCGTGGATTTGAAAGGTGCTGTTGAAGGATCTATGAGTTGCTGTAATGCATCGTGGAGATGGTACACACTGCTGCCACTGTGTGTTTGTAGTTGGGGAAAGGAACATTGAAGGTACTTATCTGGTACTGATCAAGTGGGCTTCTTTGTCCTGGATGATGTTGAGCTTCTCAAGTGCCATTGGAGCTACACCCATCCAGGCAAGTGGCGAGTATTCCATCACAGTCCTAACTTGTGCCTTGTAGATGGTGGATGGGCTTTGGGCAGTCAGGAGATGAGTTACTCGCTGCAGGATTCCTAGCCACTGACCTGTTCTTGTGGCCAATGTATTTATATGGCTCATCCGGTTGAGTCTCTGGTCAATAGTAATGCCCATTTTGGTGATAGTGGAGGATTCAGTGATAGTAATGTTTTTGATTGACAGGGGGTAATGCTAAGATTGGCTCTTGTCAGAGATGGTCATTGCCTGATATTTGTGAGGAGTAAATGTTATTTGCAGTAGTTAATAACTTGTATTGTTCTCTGGCCTCTAATTTATTGGTTACACTTGAATAGCTCTCCAGGGATTGAAACTCCATTAACGAGTGGCACAAGAAACAAGGCACCAAACATGCATTAGCACTACATTTGAATTGGCTTAGACGAATCTAAAGAATAATCTCAAATTTGATCTGAACAAACTTTGGGAAGTGTCAATGTGCCACAAACCCATGTGTAAATAAACAAACTGAGTATGAACAATCTATAAATTGGAACTATGACTCAGAACAGGCAGAACAATGCTCCTTCTGAGAAGTAGGCATGAGTCAGTGAACAACACTCCCAATTCTGGATCAGAAGGTCCAGGCTTGAGATTGAAACCCTTCAGAACAAACATCTAGGGTAACACTCCATTGCAATACGCAGCGAGTGCTTCACTGTTAGAGGTGCCACCTTTCGGATACGACACTGGACCAATACCCTGCCTACTCTCTCCGGCAAAGGTACAAGATCCTATAGTTACAAATCTGAACAAGCGTAGGGCAATTATCCTCACCATTCAAGCAATTGAGATCCTTCCATCAACATCACTAATTCACAGTCTTTATTGATGAAGAATAAAAGGTTAACTCTAAATAGCGAAAACATTATCTTGGTGTTAAGGGGCATTGTTCTTTATGGGAGTTGGCTATGCATGAACTGGGTGCCACATTCACTACTCTACTATTGTATATCATTAGCTGTAAAATATAATGGCACCATAATTCTCTGAAAGATGTTATCGAAATGCAAATTCTTTCTTTCTTTCTGAGAAAAGCAAATATTTCATTGATGATTTATGAAATATTTGCATAGGATTATGTAGGATACATTAAACAGGAACAGGCCATTCAGCCCAACCATTCTTTATGCTCCTCTCGAACTTTCTCCCATTTTTCATCTTCTAGGTCTGCCAGCCTAACCCTTTATTGCCTCCCCCTCATTTATGTGTCTAGTTTTACCTTAAATGCATCTATATCCTTCACTTCAATCACTCCCTGTGGTAACAGGTTCCACATTCTTATCACTCTTTGGATAAGGGCATTTGTTCTGAAATCCCGAAAGGATTTCTTGGTGACTGCTATATACCACAGGTGGTCTCCAGCTGTACTTTTCATCACAAGAGGAAGCGTTCTTTCTGTTTCCAGTCTCTGTGTTGAGGTGAACTGGTTGGGTCTAACAGGTGTTTTACTCTGGGCCTAACACATTCTGCTGATGGGGGATCAATGCAAGGTCAGGGGCCTCTGAGAGCCAAGATTACAAGTCACCTATCAAATAGTGGTCTTTGATGATCACTCAGATAATCACTTGATAATGAGTCAGAAAAGGTGAAGAAAAGAAACCTTCATTTCTGGAGGGTGGGGTGGTCTCAGCGACAGGAACCTGTTCTTTCAGGTTAAAGAGCAAAATAAACACGAGTGGGGAATTATTTTCTATTCATTCATGGGATGTGGGTGTTGCTCGCAGGGACAACATGTATAGCCCATCCCTAACTGCCCCTGAGGTGGTGATGGTGAGCTGCCTTTTAGCAACCAGTCCATGTCCTGTGGGTAGACTTTCATTGGTACATGGATGGCTTCAGTATCTGAGGAGTCATGAATGGTGCTGAACATTGTGCAATCATTGGCAAACATCGCCACTTCTGACCTAATGATGGCGGGGAGATCAGTGATGAAGCAGCTGAAGATGGTTGGGCCTAAGACACTACCCTGAGGAACTCCTGCAGAGGTGTCCCAGGACTGAGATGACTGACGTCCAACAACCACGACCATCTTCCTATGTGTCAGGTATAACTCCAACCAGCGGACAGTTCTTCCCCTGATTCCTGATGACTCCAGTTTTGCTGAGGGTTCTTGATGCCACATTCAATCGAATGCTGTCTCAATGTCAATAGGAAAAAGGCGGGGGTTGAGAAACGTATCAGCCATGCTTGAATGTTGGAGCAGACTCAATGGACTGAATGGCCTAATTTCTGCTCCTATGTCTAATGACTTATGGTCAAGGGCAGTCACTCTCTCCTCATAGCAATGTGCTTCATGACAATGTTTATATGTTATTAGGGTAACTGATGTTTCCAGTGAGATCGAACAGTGAAAAGTAATGAGTTTACAATTTCACTAATTGACAAAATAATTAGATCAACAATCACACAACACCAGGTCACCTGATGAAGCAGCAGTGCTCCAAAAGCTTGTGATTTCAAATAAATTTGTTGGACTATAACCTGGTGTAGAGTAACTTTTAACCTTGTCCACCCCGGTCCCACACCGGCACCTCCACAACATGACAAAATAATTAGATGTTCTGGGACACATTGACAAAGAGTTTACAAAGTGTGAGCAGAGCAGGACTTCTGTAACACATTTATAATCACTACACTGAGCAATGTCTTCAGGGGCAAATCGCACATTTACAGTGTTTTACTGCATGGATTGAAGGGTGAAACCCCTTTCCCAGGGAAACGACAAAATAGAAACAAGTGGATATAACATTTTCAAAAACAGCCGACTCAAGATAACAAAGTGACTAATGCCATGAGCAATGAAATTGGAGCTGTGAGTGGGATGAGTCACTCACTGAACACCCACAATAGCACATTCTGTACATGCCACAGACATCACAACATTGGCCCTTCCAAGTCACCTCTTTCTTTTCACAAACTTTGACTGATCGTATTTTGTTGCGAACAGCGGAAATTATTCAATGATCCTTCGAGCAATTGTATGGTGTTTTACTTTACCACAATGTTGCTGTCATGCTCTGTCAAGCAGCTGGTGGGACATCGCAATGGACAGGACCCCACACTATCCTTCCACCGGGTACCACTAACCAGGGGCTACATGAAGCAGGCGGGTATTGGTAGAATACATCTGAAATCTGCATTGTGTGTGGGCAGGTGTGTGCAGATATGCACGTTCATATTTGTGTGCGTGTGTGTATGTCTGTGTGTGGACATGTGCACATCTACATGTATGCATGTGTATCCGCGGGCACGAACATGTGTATGTGTACGTATTTATATATGTGCATTAGCATGTGAGACAGACAGACAGAATGAGTCTGTGTGTGAGAGACAGAACACACGGTATGAAGATTGTCGATGTGAGATTGTGTGTTTTTGGGTATCTGCACATCCCCACGTGTGTACGAAAGAGTTTGCAGATTGTGCGAGTGCATAGAATCTCTATGGTGTGGAAACAGGCCATTCGACCCAACAGGTCCACACTGCCCCTCCGAAGAACATCCCACCCAGACCCATTCCCGTAACCCCACAGTTCCCATGTCTAACCCACCAAATCTGCTCGGCCTGCTGTGTTCATCCAGCCCTGCACCTTGTTGTCTCGGATTCTCCAGCATCTGCAGTTCCTACTATCTCCAAATCTAAACATCCCCAGGCATTATGAGCAATTTAGCACGGCCAATCCACCTACCGGGCATATCTTTGGACTGTGGGAGGAAACCGGAGCACCCAGAGAAAACCCACGCAGACACGGGGAGAATGTGCAAACTCCACACAGACAGTCGCCTGAGGTTGGAATCGAACCCGGGTCCCTGGTGCTGTGAGGCAGCAGTGCTAACCACTGAACCACTGTGCCGCCACATGTGAGAGATTGTCCGTGCGAGAGAGAAGGAGATTTTGTTATCATTCAGTGTGTGTATATGAGAGCGCGTGTGCACGTGTAGATTGTGTGTGTGTGTGTGTGTGTGTGTGTGGATGCGTGACAGTGTGAGGGTGGAAGTGTATGTATGTGAGAGGCCATGTATGTGGCAGACCATTTGAACAAATACTTTGGATCCATCTTCACTAAGGAGGACACAAATAACCTTCAGAAAATGCTAGGGGACAGAGGGTCAAGCACGAAGGAGGAGCGGAAGGAAATCTTTATTAGTCAGGAAATAGTATTGGGGAAACTGACGGGATTAAAATCCAATAAGTCTTCAGGGCTTGCTGCTCTGCATCCCACAGTACTCAAGGAAGTGCCCTAGAAATAGCCAACACATTGGTGATCATTTTCCAACATTCTGTAGACTCTGGAAGAGTTCCAATGAACTGGAGGGTAGCTAATGTAACTTCACTCTTTAAAAAAGGAGGGACAGAGAAAATGGGGAATTATAGACCAGTTAGCCTAACATTGATGGTGGGAAAATGCTGGAGTCAATTATTAAGAATGTAATAACTGAGCATTTGGAAAGTGGTGACAGGATCGGTCCTAGTCAGCATGGATTCACTAAAGGGAAATCATGCCTGACAAATCTTCTGGAATTTTTTGAGGATGTGACCAGTAGAGTGGACAAGGATGAATCAGGAGATGTTGTGTATTTGGACTTTCAAAAAGGTTTTGACAAGGTTCCACACAAGCAATTAGTAAGGAAAATTAAAGCTTATGAAGGAGGTAATGTATTGACATGGATAGAGAACTGGTTGGCAGCCAGGAAGCAGAGAGTTGGAATAAGCGAGTCCTTTTCAGAGTGACAGGCGTTGATGCATGAGGTGCTGCAGGGTTCAGGGCTGGGACCCCAGCTGTTCACAACATGTATTCACAATTTGGATGAAGGAATTGAATGCCATATCTGCAAATTTGCAGGTAACACCAAGCTGGGTGGCAGTGTGTGCTCTGAGGAAGATGCTAAGAGGCTGCAGGGTGACTTGGACAGACTGGCTGAGTGGGCAAAAACCTGGCAAATGCAATATAATGTGGATAAATGTGAGGCTTACCCACTTTGGTCCCAAAAACAGGAAGGCAGGTTATTATCTGAATGGTGGCAGTTCAGAAAAAGGGGGGTGCAATGAGACCTGGGTGTCATGGTGGAACAGCGGCTGAAGGTTGGCATGCAGGTACAGCATGCAACATAGACTGGACAGGCTAGATGCTGGAAGAATGTTCCTGATATTGGGGAAGTCCAGAACCAAGGGTCACAGTCTAACAATAAGGGGTAATCCATCCAGGGCTGAGATGAGGAAGAATTTCTTCACTCAGAGAGTTGTGAACCTGTGGAATTCTCTCCCATAGGAAGCTGTTGGGGCCAGTTCATTAGATATATTCAAGAGGGAGCTGGATATGTCCCTTGCAGATAAAGGAGTCAAGGGGTATGGGGAGAGGGCAGGAATGGGATACTGAAATTGCATGATCAGCCATAATCGTATTGTATGAGGTGCAGGCTTGAAGGGCCGAATGGCCTACTCTTGCTCCTATCTTCTATGTTACTATGTTTCTAAGAATGTTAGAGTGCTTGTATTTGTCATCAATATTCTTTACCATCAATATTGTGTTGATGAGCATTGCAGCCAAAGTGCCCTGATATTCACAGAGGGGAAATTAACAAGTGTGAGCGAAGAAGAAATTGAAGGACTGACTGGGGCATTATTGCATGGGAAACATCCAGATAAAGACAGCAGAAGAGATTCAAAAAGACACCTCAAACCCATCAAATAGTTAGCAGCATACTCACCACAGCTCAGGTCACTGTTGGGTTCCAGCACATCAACAGGAATATCCCAAAATGAGTTGTCCCAGTCCACAACATTCCCCTTCTCGTCACAGGTTAGGTCTAGCAGTGCCTGACTGGACATGCTGAAGTTCCAGAGCCGGACGTTGTAGAGCTCACCTCTGTAGGTGTTGCTGGCTGGAGTCACTTTTGGTGCCAGTGAGAGGGTGCCACTTCCTGCAACGACCTTGTTCTGAGATGCTGGGCAGGGGTTGAGCTGGAACTTGTCTTGGGTTTGGGTGATGATATCGCCAGACATGCCATCCCAGGCAAGGCACAGCCCCTGCCAAGTGTCAGTGATCACCTTGTCGGAGAAGTGCTCATCCCAGAGCTCGCCCACGTCACACACCACATCGGAAACTTGCAGGTGAATGTCTTTGCCGTCTTTCTCGAACTTGATCTGCGCCTTGTCACTGCTGTCCATGTACACGAACAACGTCCACTCCTTCTTCACTTTGGCTGCCTTGACCTCCAGGCATACTGTGAACTGCTGCAGCTCTGGGATGGTGACAGAAGGGGAGACTGCAACGGCCTGGCTATGGGAAGCCTTCGAAAACACCAGCATCTGATTCCGCAGTGAGACCGCCACTGAACAGTAACCCAGAGAGAGGAAGGCAAAACAAAAAGGAAAAGTCAGCTGTGAACTTACAGAAAGAGAAAGTCTAAACACACAGACGTGGAAACTCTGTCACTGATGATAATTATTATGGTCCTCCCACATGTGTTCAATGCAGTAACAATCTACAGCTGCAGAAATACTCCAGCTGAATAACTGGCTAAGAACAGGACAAGAGGAGCTAGTGTACAGTAACATCATCACCTCCAGAGTGATGAACTTCAATAAAAAAAAGACCCACTGCTTTCTTTTAAAGACTGTTCAAGATGGTCAGTGAGGCTGGGCACCTGAAGAATTAATAGTGAAAGGCATTAGTGGGACCATATCTTGAGTACTGTATATAAGTTCAGTCTCCTTACTGGAGAAGGGATGTAGCTGTATTGGAGGCAGCTCAGAGAAGGTTCATTACATTCATTCCAGAGATGACAATGTTGTCTTATGAAGAGAGATTGAACAGTTTTGGCCTATCCTGTCTGGAGTTCAGAAGAATGAGTGGAGATCTCATTGAGGTATATAAAATGATTAAAGGGGCCAATCCAGATTTGGAGGTCATAGTTTTAGGATAAGGGGTAACAGATTTAAAACTAAGATGAAGGGAAATTACTTCTCTCAAAGGGTCACGAATCTGTAGAATTCACTCCCCCAGAGTGTGGTGGATGCTGGGACATTGAGTAAATTTAAGGAGGAGATAAACAGATTCTTAATTTGCAATGGACGAAAGGATTACGGAAATCAGAGCAGGAGAGTGGAGTTGAGGCTGAGATCAGATTAGCCACGATTGTATCAAACGGTAGAGCAGGCTCGAGGAGCTGAATGGCCTACTCCCTTTTTCCTAGTTCTTATCTTCTTATGTGATATATGTCCATATCTGGTTGATATGTTACTTGGAGGGGAATCTGGGCGTCGTGGTGTTTCCATGAACCTATTGTATTTATCCGCCTATAAGTTGTGGAGGCCACAGGTTTGGAAGGTGTAACTGAAGAAGACTTGACAAGAAGCTACAGTGCATAGTCTCATCATGGAAAGGGATGGATGTTTAAAAGAGTAGGGGTACTGCCAATCCAGTTGACTGCTTTGTCTTGGGCAATGTCAAGCATTAAAGGTCCAGTATCATCTCAGGCAACATGAGCAGTAGACATGCCCAGTGTGACATACAACTCAACAAAGGAGTTTGGAAATAATTGACTGAGATAATCAAGCTTTGAGGCGACCAGTTTGTTGCCCAATATAATGTAGGCCATACATTGTTATGTTGTATTAGTCTTGATGCCATCAATCTAATTCTTCATTCTTTCATTCATTTACTGAGCAAAAATATAATGAAGCATTGAAAGCACAAAATATTTTTATGATATGTTGGATTTCTCATATGTATGAAACCTCCAGTGGAAACCTGACAATGCATCATTCAAAGGGGAAATCTATTTCATCAGTTTGTTGCTCAGTTTGGGTTAAGGATTGCATCTGATGACAAAGTTATGTGATGTGTTGAAACTGTATTCCATGGAACTAAACTTCCTCACCCAGCCATACCTCGTTGCCGAGAAGGTGATAGTGAGCCTCCTTCTCAAACAGATGCTAGTGCAGTAGTCTAATGAAATTGATTAAACGACCAGACCACCTCAGGAGCCAGTTAATAGTTAACTGAAAACCTAAAGAACGTGGATGCTGTAAATCAGAAACACAAACAGAAATTGCTGGAAAAGCTCAGCAGGTCTGACAGCATCTGTGGAGTGAAATGAGAATTAACATTTCGGATTGAGTCACCCTTCCTCAGAACTTGGATTTTGTTTTTGGTTTTTTTGTTTTTGTTAAAAATTAACCACATTGGTATTTACACTGATTTCACATATAAGCCCAGACAAGGTAAGGATGGCTGTTTAAGGGGACTTAGTGCCCTAGTTTATCAATCATATAAAGTTCTTTTACCTTTTAATTTTTCATGGGACATGGGCATTGCTGGCAAGGCCAGCATTTAATACTCATCTCTAATTGCCCACTGTTGCGTTTATCCTGAGTTGATGCCCATGAGAAAAGGCATGTTGGACATACAGTCCATTCTCAGTTTGCTAATGTCCAGCGTCAGAAGTTACACTGGTCCACCCCAGTTCTTCACTTTGTGGTTTGTATACAAAAGGGCCAAGCTTGCCATTGTTTTATTTCAATTGGTTGCAAATTGTACACCTGCTCCGATGTGCTAACACAGAACGTGTTTGCAACAACAAAGCTGGTAAGAAAACATAAACCAATTTAAGAAATGCTTGATTAAGAAACCACGTAAAAGTCATCACTGGGCATATCTCGAAGTTTAGATGAATAGATGCGAGGGTTATAGGGTAGAATTTCATCGACGGGGTTCAGATGTATTGAAAGTATACTAAGGAGAGCTGGGAGGCAGGCTGGAATTTAAATAAGTTGATCAATAGATGAATTATAGAATACTGGAAACTTGGGAATGAATTGCAGAATGCAATTTAAAGGATTGCCTAGTGTTGTCACATCGCAAGTCTTACTGCACACAAATTGGCGGGTGCATTTCCTGCATCGCGACATGAACTACCCTTCAAAAAATTGCCTGTAAAGCAAATGGGACATCCTGAGTAAGCAAAGGTGCAATATAAATTCAGGTCTTCCTTTCCTTCAAATGTGCCATTAGTCTCGGCAGAAAACATTTCCAAAAGCCATATAATGCAGTAAGTTCTTTTTGGCCATTTCTTTTATCACGTACCTTGCAAGTAGGTGACCCTGAAGCCTTTCTTTTGGATGCTAAAGTCAGTCTTGAACGTAACAATCATTTCATTCCCCGTAGAGTTCAACGTGAGGCCCTTAGCTGTGACACCACAAAATTCTATGAGCTCGGCCCCAGTGTTTATTGATACAAAGTCGTACAGACATCTTTGTGCTTCCTCTAACTCGAACTCATGAAAGGTCAACTGTATGATAAATCCAGGAGGGGCTCGGATTGTCCACTGGCAACTTAAATCAGAAATATACTCCCGGGGGAAGCAAGGGGATGCGAACTGTCCGGTGGGTCTGGTTAAAGTTTCTGTGCATTTTGAGCAGCCCAACACTGCTGGATCCAACAGGAAAGAAAGAAAATGGAACAACACAATTATACTTGTCAATGTGACCCACAAAAAACACGACGCGTGTTGGGCAGAGTCCCAACAAGATCAGGACAGGGAAGTTGCCAAGAATTAGTGTCAGGCATGCAGTCAGTCATTTGGAAGAAGGGCTTTTGATATTAATTCGCAAGAACACAGCACTGGGATTGTTGCCAGCCACAGTGTGGACCCTCGGGGCTCTCTGCAGGAGTTCACCTCAGACAATCCGAATCTACTCTCCAAAATGTTCACAGCTCTCCTCCCGAAAGCGTTGAGTGACACTGGGCTGTTGTGTCCCTAACTCCATCGGCCAGTCAAATCAATTGGACAAACTTCACACCACGGTCGGGACAGCTGATTACTCACCACGGACATTATCATAAGGCAGGGGGAGGCCATTCAGCCCTCAAGTCTGGTCTGCTCTTCAATTACATTGTGGACAATCCATCTCCCTTGGTTGCATATCCCAATGCTGTCACCCAACACTAAACTGTCAATCTCCTTTGCAACATTTTCAATTCACACCCCCTGCCCCCCAGCCCAGTCTTAACAGCCTTTCTTGAGGATGGCCTTTCACATTTTCCCAACTCTTTGTGTGAAAGTTGCTGGTCCCTGAATGGGGTAGCTCTAATTTTAACCTTGGACCCTCATGTTTTGGGACTGTCCCACCAGGGGAACTATTTTTTTCTCTGTCCACCTTACCAACTTGCATCATAATTGAACCTAATCTTGTCCTTAGCGAGAACGGAAACTCCCTCTTTGTGCCAGTCAGGAGCCAGGCTGTCAAATCCATCATTACAATGATTATATGTGTAAAGAGTAGAGAGAGTCCATCCCCTCACCTGCCTCTTCAATGTATCAAATTATTCATGTGCTTTCATCCACAACCCCTGTGCTCATTGGTCACCATGGACTCCTGATCTGGCAAGGCTCAAGTTTTAAAATTGTCATCTCTGTGATCAAATTCCTCGAAGAGCTCTCCGTCTCTGCTATGCCCTCCAAGCCTGCAATCTCCATGATATCTGTGCACCTCCAACTCACGTTCCAATTTTCCTCACTCCACTGCTCCTCCTGACAGTACGTTGAAATATTGCAAGAACCTGAATCTGATGTGCTTGCTGCATGACAGAGGATCTTACTCTCAGACTTCACAGATTCGCCCTGGAGTGGGTCAATACTGGATTGCAGCCTCTGTACAGGATCACTTGCATGAAGTTACTCTGGGATCAGGCTGCTCTGTAATGAGGTCCACCTTGTTCCAGACTATTAATAGGAGGACCTTCCAGCAGAAGGCTAGAGTAGAACCCTATTTGAACATGTCCATTTATTAGCTGAACTTAATCCACAAACAAAAGTGCCGCACCATGCCATCTGTCCATTACCTACCATTCAACCCTGTTCCTATTAATTGGGATTTCAACAGTCTAAGACCCAGGAAAGGGTATATTGCCTGACTAAGAGTGATAGGTCCAGTAACTGTGGCAGAAACAATACTCTAGTGCTGTGAGGACACTGAGATGAGGAGCAGTGACAGTTTTAACAGCAGCTTGGCAGAAAAGGGATCGATGCAAAGATAGTCAGGACTGCACACATTATTCAGACCACGCAGAAGCATGAGCAATTCTTTTTTTGCAAGTTTTTAAAATTATTTTTTGCAACACTCATCAGCTATCAAGATGTGCCAGTACAGCAAACATTTATAATGTCTTCTTCTGGATCTGAGCCCATTCTATTCCCAACTCTTCAGTCTGCCCTTTATCTCACTTAGACACTTCTGTCCTACCACTGTCAAACTTTTTAAAAACTTTAAAATCAAGATCACCACAATTTGTGGTTTGCTGTCAAATTTTGCCAGACAACACTTCTGCAAAGTACATCAGGATAGTTTCACTCCATTAAAAGTGCTATCTAAATGCAAGTTGTTGTTCTGCCATTCAAATGAATGCATTCCATGATACTCACGTGTCTCATTCATAATCATAAAACTACACAACGCATAGCTCTGAGAGCTATGAACTATACTGAACAACAAACACCAGTATATAATAATACCAACAGTGCCAAACACTACTAACAATACATAACACTGCAGATATGTTAGTGTTCCACCAGATCACCCAACCTGTCCACCTCTACCTCCAACACTGACATAGCCAGACTACCACAGGAGCAATACCAAGTTCAAGTGACACAGCATTCTGGATAAATGTACATCTTCACTGCATCGAAGTTCCTGATTCCTCATACCCTCTTGGGAGCACTACTTAAGAACAGTGATGAATCAAAAATGAAATCCTTCTACCATCTTCAGTAAGGCCTTTGACAAGGTCCCTCATGGCAGAATGATACAGAAGGGAAAGTCACATGGGGTCAGAGGTGAGCTTGCAAGATGGATAAAAAACTGGATCAGTCATAGTAGACAGAGGGTAGCAGTGAAAGGGTGTTTTTCTAAATGGAGAGCTGTGACTTGGGGCTTTCCTCAGGGATCAGTATTGGGACCTTTGTTATTTGTAATATACAAAAATGATTTGGAGGAAAATGTAACTGGTCTGATTAGTAAGTTTGCCAATGACACAAAGGTTGGTGGAATTGCAGATAGCGATGAGAACCGTCAAAGGGTACAGCAGGATATAGATTGGTTGGTGACTCAGGCAGAGAGGTGGCAGATGGAGTTTAATCCAGAAAAATGTGAGGTAATGCATTTCGTAAGGTCTAATCCAGATGGAAAATATACAGTAAATGGCAGAACTGTGAAGAGTACTGACAGGCAGAGGGATCTGGGTGTACAGGTACAGAGATCACTGAAAGTGGCAATGCAGGTGGAGAAGGTAGTCAACAAGGCATACGGCATGCTTGCCTTCATCGGCCAGGGCATTGAGTTTTAAATTGGCAGGTAATGTTGCAGCTTTATAGAACCTTAGTTCGGCCGCATTTGGAATATTGTGTCCAATTCTGGTCGCCACACCACCAGAAGGATGTGATGGCTTTGGAGAGGGTACAGAAAAGATTTACCAGGATGTTGCCTGGTATGGAGGGCATTAGCTATGAGGAGAGGTTGGATCGTTCTCACTGGAATGACAGAGGATGAGGGGTGACCTGATAGAGGTCTACAAGATTATGAAGGGCATGGACAGACTGGACAGTCAGAAGCTTTTTCCCAGGGTGGAAGGTTATTAGGGGGCATATGTTTAAAGTGTGAGGGGTAGTTAAAGCTGATGTACGAGGCCAGTTTTTTACACGGAGGGTGGTGGGTGCCTGGAACTCGCTGCCAGGGGAGGTAGTGGAAGCAGATACGATAGTGATTTTTAAAGGGTGTCTTGACAAATACATAAATAGGATGTGAACAGAGGGATTCGGTCCCCGAAGGGTAGGGGGTTTTAGTTGTGATGGGCAGCATGTCAGTGCAGGCTTGGAGGGCCGAAGGGCCTGTTCCTGTGCTGTAATTTTCTTTGTTTGTTGTTCTTTGCTCCTGGAGTAACCAGACATGACCTTCATCAGTAATGCCAACATCCACAGAACAAAGTAAATATAACCACTATAATTATATTCTGTACACCCTACTGACAATAGATAACACAGTTAGCAACAGCTAATAGTAATCGATAATACTATCAGTTAGAAATTACAATTTCCATACTACACAGTAATACTCAATACCAACAACAATAAATAATGCTGCCAATTATATGTAACGCTATCAAATACTGACAATCTGTAAAACTATTAATTAAACATCACACAGTCTACTGTGCAGAGTACAGGACACAATTCATAAAAGCACAATTAACAATGTCCATTACTGTCAACAATATGGTAAACTGTTTCTCTTATCAACAATGTGGAGTATTATCAATTATAGATATGTATCAAGCATTATTCCCATCACATAAATGCAAACAACACTCAGTGTTATCCCCAACATTCAACGCAATCAAACTCAGTGTTATTAATATCCAACAATATTAACAATGCTGATCATCAACTGTTTCATAAAATGTGATCACAAACGTGCAACTTTCTCAATAACACATATTGTAATTTTTACCTAAAGTACTCATAATTTCCACAGTGTTGGCAATAATGTTTTATTCAATTCATTCATGGGACATGGGTGTTGCTGGCTAGGCTAGCATTTATTGCCCAAACGTAATTGCCCAGATGGCATTTTGTTGTGGCCCTGGAGTCACATGTAGGGAAGGATTGCAGATTTTCTTCCCTAAAAGACATTAGTGATTTTTTTATGCCTCTGGCAATTGTTTCATGGTTATCATTAGATTCCGAATTCCCATTTTTTTTAATTGAATTCCAATCTCTACCATGGCAGAAACTCAAACCAGAATATTACCTGGGTGTCTGGATTAATAGCTTAGTGATAGGTCCACCAGGCCATCCCCTCCCCCCATAACCATGGATTAACACTGTTAAAAATATATTTGTATTTAAATAAGAGGTCAGCCTTGAAAATCCGCTGTTCCATTCAGAATCATACCAGAATCAGTATTTCATGCATCACCTATGTCTGCTGACCCAATAATATATTTTATCATAAGTTCAACCTGCTTACACTACCAGAGCTATCCACAAGTTTCCCTCTGAGACCAGAATTCAGACAATGAGGAATATCCAGACTAAAGCCATTACTGATTGCTTCATTTCCACAGACCCCATGCTACGTCAGCAGAATTCGACATTTCCGAACATTGTGAAAATAGTGTAAAACCTACAAAGGGCATTTGGACTTTAAATCTTTCTCCTTTCAGAGACCATAAAGCACCATGTGATGGGCTGCATCCAAACTATTTAAAGCTCATGGCTGCAAACAGAGTTTGAACTATTCATTGCAGGTAATCAAGCAAAGCTTCCAAGTACTTCCCTCCACAATTATTAATTCAACCCTGACCAACTCCCTTTCACAGACATCCTCTATTTTGTGCCCTTGGAGCACAGGAAGCATTAATTCTCTCCATCGTAACCCTCAGTCCCATTCCTAACTCAGTACTGATCCACCTCCCTCTTGGTATTCCAATTTCGTGTTTGATGTGTTTCCAACTGTCAGGCACCATTCTCACAACTGGTCACGTTGATGCAAATAAAATCTCTACCCATGGGGTCATTCTTCAAGTACACATATCTGACATGCTCTCTGGTTGTGGCAGCACTGGAGCTGAACCCATTATCAGCCCCAGTGTTCACTCAAGTGAGTCCATTCCACCATGAGACACTGGGCAAATTTAAACATGATCACTGCCACCATGGAAACAAATATTTAAGGGTAAATATTGCGAGGGTCGTTTTTTTTAAATGTGCACTGGTTGTGTGCAAAGCCTCACTATATCTCTTGCAATATTGCCCATTAATTCATTCATGTGACATTCTTCTGTTTGCTATGTTAGTCGGTTCATTTTTCTTCACTACAATAGAATGATACAAACAAGGTAAAGTTTTTCCATTCAAATCATCACTCAATTATGCTTTTGTTGCCTTTAGACTTAACTATTTCATTACATTCCTGATCAACCTCACATCCACCACTCTTCATAAACTTGAGCTCATCCAAAACACTGCTGGCCAGGTCCTAGCACACAAGTCCCATTTGGCATCATCTCTCTGATACTGACTGATTGCCTGTCCTAAACCCTGCAATCTCTACCCCTATCCAGATCTCCATGGTCCTGCAGTTCTGAACTTTTGATTAACACTGATTTTAATCTCTCAACAATAGCAGCCATGCCTTAACTCTGAGCTCTGGAATATTTCCTATTGCTCTTTGCCTCTGTACATCTCCTTTGTCCTTCATGACCCTTTTTAGGCTTTTAATCGCTGTCCTGATATCTCCTCTTTTAGGCTTATCATTAATTTTGAGTCTATTTACACATCTGGGAAACATTGTGGAAAGTTTTTCTAATAAAGGCACTATGTAAATGTAAGTCCTTGTCATTGCTGTCCACCACCAATGCTGCCAACGTTTGTCAATATGCCTGAATGTTATTGGTCTACAATGGCATATTTTAAAAAATATGTTACTCAAATTTCTACGGCATTCTCCTGAAGACATAAGGCACATCCTTCCACCCCCATAGTTTTCTTTCTAGCAAGACTAATGTGGTAAATTCTGGTGGGATATTTATCTGTGGAAGCCATTCACTGTTCTTGGCCCATTGTGCAAGTACACATACTTTCCAATTTTAGAAGCACGCCAATAAATTCTGGCACCAAAATCCACGGTTTGATCAGAAAACGAGCACCTTCATCCAAAATAGCAGTCACCCATGATGCCTCTTCTCTATGGGCTCATTGCCAGGCAACATTCAGTCAGAAGGGACACCAGAGGAATAAAAGACCAAGGGACACTAGCCACAACATTTTATTGGGATGGCAGGGGGAGTGGGGGGTGATTCAGAATATGTGCATCCCATTGAAGTACAATAAGATCTGCTTTTTAGATTGCCCAAGTGATTTAAATCATGCACATATGTTAGTTCCTCATTCTGGGTTTAGTTCCATTAATGAAAGCAAGCTTGCCAAGAGAAATCGAATGGAATAAATTGGTAGCGCAGAGGAAGAACAAGTAGAATGGAACAAACTAGAAATTAGATTAAGAGAAAATCGCAGCACACAGTAAACAATACAAATCCAGAAACATTTCGATCAACACATTCATTTCAAACCTGCTGTTGTCGATATAAGTATCTCATGTCAACAGAATGTTTTGATACTCCATTGTGCATTATTTTAGTGTAGATTTGACTCCTATAATTTACACAAAAAAAACCCAGACGTTTACACAGTCTTCATGTTGTTGCACTGTGCTCCTCACAGTTAACTCGTACATGCTGTGCCTATGTGTCTAATGGATGTTGGCCATGTAAACATGTCATGCTGTAATTACACTCTCTCAACAGTGATGGCACTACAGCCATCCTCAGCCTCGCCTCACCCAGCCTGTGTTACTGGAAAGCTCCTCTCTTCCAGTCACTTTAACTTCTGTCCTCCCCAAATTACTAATTAACCACAAACTTTTCCATACATTGAACGTTTAATGTCTGAACTTACATTTTCCATTATAAGTTCCTATGCCTGAATTTACAAAATGCGAATTGATGACCTGTAATTACATCCTATATCACCAGGGGAGGAACTGCAGCACCACCACTGCTGGGAGGGTATAAGTGTAGCATGACCCATTATCACAGAATCTGACCATTTGGTCAACTGGTCAGTAGCAGTGTTTGTGAGTCCATGCCAGCCTTCTTCATCTCGGTCTCTCACTGTAGTTTTCCATTCCTTTTCCGTACAACTAACTTCCCCTGAAGCGCGTCCATCCATTCATTTTAATTGTGGCAACCAGTTTCACACTATCTCCATTTCATCTGTTCCGATGGCATCCCTATCCACCGACCTACTCCAACATGTCTTCATTTCTCCACCTCAGAAGATGGATCATATGACTCTGAAGTGAGTCATACAGCTTGGAAACAGACCATTTAGTCCAACCAGTCCATGCCGACCATAATCCCAAACTAAACCAGTCCCACCTGCCTGCGCTTGGCCCAAATCCCTCCAAACATTTCTTATTCATGTACTTATCCAAATGTCTTTTAGATATTATAACTGGACCTACATCCACCACTTCCTCATGATGTTCATTCCGCACACGAGCCACTGTTAAGAAAAAATTGCCCGTCATATCTTTTTTAAATCTTTCTCTTCTCACCTTAAAAATATGCCCCCTAGTATTGAAATCCCCCACCCTAGGGAAAAGAAACCTGCCATCCACTATATCTATGCCCCTCATGATTTATAAAGCTCTATAAGGTCACCCCTTAACCTCCTACACTCTAGTGAAAAAAGTCCCAGCCAATCCAGTCTCTCCTTATAACTCAAACCCTCCATTTCTGGCAACATCCTGGTAAGTCTTTTCTGAACCCTCTCTAGCTTAAGAATATCCTTCCTACAACAGGGCTACCAGAACTAGACACAGTATTCCAAAAGAGGCCTCACCAACATCCTGTACAGCCTCAACATGACATTCCAACCCCAATACTCAAAGGTCTGAGCAATGAAGGCAAGCATGCTAAGCACCTTCTTAAGTGAAGTTGAATGGTGTTTGCAATCACAACCTAATCACCTCCCGCTCCCCCTTAACCCTGCTACACCTAAACGCTACACTTGTCTTGGCTCCTTCAGTGCAATGTTATGGAAATCTAAACCAAAGAAAAAAATCAAAGAACCGTGGATGCTGGAAATCTGAAACAGAAACAGAAATTGCTGGAGAAACTCAGCAGAGAAGGATCATTGGATCCAAAATGTTAACTCTGTTTCTCTCTCCAGGGATATTGTCAGATCTTCTCCAGCAATTTCTGTTTTTTTCCTTCCAGGAAATCTGTTCACTTCAAGTAGATGGATTAATGGAGCAATCACAGACAGAATGTCATCCAAAGTCTTTAACAATTCACTCACTAATATCACCAACAGCAGGTTTGGACCATTGTTGTTAAATGCTCAAAATAAACAAGGTCAAAGTTTTAACTAGAAAAAGGCACATCATCTGTGAAGTAAAACAGAAATGTCTGTTAGGTATGATAGAATTAAAACTAGAATGATATTTTCCATGTGTATCCGGGAAGGAGAGGGCTTACCTGTGGGATCAAGGCAGATTGCGAAAGTAGCCAAATGGCAGAGAAAGCTCCAGAAGCTCCAACTTCGGTGAAAGCTCCACCCACTGGTTTTGTGGAACATCCTGCAAGAGGCGAAACAGGCCCGAGGGCAACGATGAACAAGGATAAAGTTTTCAGAGAAATGTCTGGCTCCCATTCAAAGCAGTTTTTACACTCACAACTGAATGGGGCAAAATGTTCCCCAACTGTTTATTTATAAAGATTTGATCATTGTACAACTTGTCTCAACAATATACTGAGGCTAGAAATACCACATGGTGCACCAGCTCCCCCTCCATGACTTTTCCTGAAAATGGGACAGCCATCACACCTCCAAGATGGATTGGTAAAAGTTCCAAGATTGTTCCAACTCAGTTTATTCTTAAAAGCTTGTGCTAAAAGCAACACAGGTGCATCCACACCGACCCAAACCCCTCCCTCCCACCCCTGCCCCCCACCATCCCAAGCTGCCAGGAATCACCTTAATTAGTTTTTTTATATTGTGTAGCCTTCAGTCATGTCAAGGCCATATTGTAGGGCTGGAGATAACTTTTCATAAAAGACATTGATGAACCGGGACAGGCTTTGGCTTATGTTGTGTTCTCAAGAATTCCCAAAGATTGATCGAATTAATTGAGATACCTCAGAGGAACCTCATAAGAAGGGGAGTAAGCAATGTAGGAGTAGGGTAACATAGTGGTTCAAATAATGAGTTCACATTCCAAAATTTTGGCTGGGGAAATTAAATTCAGTTAATTAAGTAAAAAAAAACTTTGGAATAAAGACCTAGCATCAATGTCAACAATGATTTGATTAGTTTATTGTAAAAATCCAGCTGGTTAACTAATGTCTATCAGTGAAGGAAACTGCCATCTTTATCTGATCTGGCCTACATGTGAATCCAGGCCAACAGCAATGTGGTTGACACTCTGAAATGGAGTATAAACCATTTGTTCTGTAGCAAAACACTGCAGAAAAGCCACTTACACCACAAGGACTGCAACAATTTGAGAAGATGACCACCACCAGCTTCTCAAGGGCAAATAGGAAGGCCTATAAATGTAGGCCTTTCTAATGACACTCACAAAATACCAAATTCAGCTCTTTGAATTCTGAAACACTGAAGCTCAGCCAAAATTAGCTACCTGAATCAGAAACAAATACAAGGGACCTTCCTTCTCAATGTATCTCAAGTCTATGTTGGGCTGTACTCCGAGAATCACTCATCTATCTTAGGGTCAGGGCTAAGTGCCCTGTCAACCATGGTAGTTTGTTTTTCTTTATTCACAGGACATGGGCATCACTGGCGAGGCCCATCCCTAATTGCTCAGCAGGTAGTTAAGTCTTAACCACATTGCTGTGGGTATGGAGTCACATGTAGGTCAAATCAGGTAAGGACCCCAGTTTCTTTCCCTAAGGGACATTAGTGAACCTGAAAGTTTCTCCCCCAAATAATGGTCACCATTAGGCCCTTGGTTTGTTATTGAATTCAGATCCCACCACCTGTCATGGTGGGATTTGAACCTGCGTCCCCAAAACATTAGCTGGGTCTCTGGATTGAGAGTCTCATGAGAACGCCACTGGGCCATCACCGGGCCGTATGGTGGGTGAAGGGTGGGAGGTGCTGGTGAAGAGGGTGGAAAGATGAAGACATGTTGGAGGCACTAACAGACAGATGGGACAGTGAGAACGTGAGTCTGGCTGTCATGGGGAGTGGTAAACATGAATTGGACGGATGCATTTAAGGGAAAGCTAGAAATATGGGAAAGGACTGGAAAACTATGCTTTGAATCCAACTGGATAACGACTCCAGCACCATCAAAATAAATCAGATTTATCCTTAAAACATCTTGCTTAAACATGTTCTGTGTAAAGAGGAAATCGAGAGCGCTGGGATTTCTGAGTCAGTCTTTCAATTTCAATTCAGGAAGGAGAAACTTGAGACTATTATTAGCTTCTTTTCATCACTCTGCCATTAAATCGAACTTTCTGCTTTGAAACAGTTGCCGAGTGGGATTCAAATTGGAATCCTCCACGATGACTTCATTAAGTTCCACTCCAATGACAGCACAAGTGAGGAATTCTGCTTCCTTGAGGGTATTCCCTATTACAAAGACACACTGGATACAAAGTCTCACTCATCTCTTTTGAATGATAATTATATAGTGTAAAACCTGTTATCATGTTCTATTCATAGACAGGAATAAATGGAGATGTGTCGATTATAATTGAACAGAAAGTAGATTCACCCCAACTTCAAAAGATTCCAGTTTAAAATATCCTGGCTACATGAACAGGTTTAACAAACTGGGTCTCTGTACTGAAGGTATGTGTAGACTATACAGTGTAGACTATTTGACGGGGAGGATAGCAGGGAGTTAAACTATCAAGACACCACATTGTGTTTTTGTAGATCAGTTGGTTCAACTTGGTAGTTTAGGGAGGTTCAGGTTCCCTCTCACTTGTTTCTACATCAGACCCAAACTAAGATCAGAGTTAATCTACATTTTCCCAGCTATAAAAACAGCAAGTTCGGCATCATCTGTGGACAGAAGCAGAGTTAATTCTCTAAGCCATCGACCTTTTACCAGAAATTGTCCGAAAAGCTGCCTTGGTAATAGTGACCATGAGTCCATCATTGATTATCATGAAAAACTATCTGATTTATTTCTAAATAAAAAACCGAAAGAACTGCGGATGCTGTAAATCAGGAACAAAAACAAAAACAAAGTTGCTGGAAAAGCTCAGCAGGTCTGGCAGCATCTGTG